ACAAAATATCTCAAATGATGCGAATTCGTCGCACTTTGCTACGTTACATCGCAAAAAAGTGTCACCTGCATTCGATCGATGATGAGAAGTGTGCCGATCACCGATTTATCCCGGCCCTTCTGCTAAAGCTCCATGGTGACACAATATCTCCCACTTGCCACTCGATTCTTCTTTAAATTTTAAATTTAAATAAGAATCTCCAGAAAGGAATCCAGATTTAAATCTCGACGCCCACCTATCCACTCAGGCCGAATATGAACGTGAAAGTGAAGGAGGAATGGAAAAACTCGAAAAAGTCCCACAATTCTTATTTAGTTTGGCGGTTTCTTCGTCGGTTTGTTGGATCGATATTGTCTTGGGATCTCTTGTTTCATTTATCTATCGTCGGAGGTACAGGTATATTAATATATCGAAATACATGTCAGGCAGTAAGCTATTGAGGCGAGTTCATGTTGGGAATATTTTGGCGGAGCACACCCCCCCCCCCCCCCCGTACACTATTGTAAATCGCAAAACCCCTTTGTCCTCTGTCCACAGCTGCTGTTTAGTTAAGCAAGGGGTTCTCAAACTGTGTGCCGCGGCACCCAAGAGTGCCGCGAGAGACTGATAGGGGTGCCGTTTCATAGGCTTACCACCTAATTAGGGGAAGAAGGCAACTACTTCACTTTATTCATGGATTTTTTCCTTGTATTCATGGAAAGCTCCTACCTTGGAATCGAGATGTAATTTGCTGAAGTCAATCACCATCCCAAATCCTTTTCTGTCAACCTCTACTGTTCAAGAGACGTGGGAACCTGTGAGATATCATATCGCGCGTAACCAGTAATGTGTCTTTTCCAGTCGTACGATGTGGATAGTCTTGATTTCAGGAAGCATTGGGCTTGACAGGTATTTTTTTAAGTAGAACATAGTAGCTAAAGTTCTTTCACTTCGTTTATCGGTCAGCTGTGCTATGTTCCATGGTGCTGAAGTTAAAGTTGTCCCTCTGCGATGGCTTCAGTTTCATGCATCGAAACTCAGATAGCGTTCCTCTCTCCCTCACTGTGCTTTCATATTGTCAATATTGAAAACCAGGAAGGAACAGGTTTTCTTACGTTGAAGCATAAGCACAACGGAAAACCCTGGTGCTGGGTCTGAAACGGTGAAAAAGCGCACTATAGAGAACTATAGAGAAGCAACCCGAGAGGAAAGTCAAAGCGCAGAAGCATGATGATAGCTCTCTTTCCCTTGACCCTTGGCCAGGCACAATTGTAGAGGAATTACTATTGCCATGTATGAAGGATGCTTCTTGTGTCCTGTATTCCTTTTGCCACCTCTTACCTGTGCGAATCCACCTTCTCTCCTGCTAGTTATATTTAAAAAATTTCAAAGCCCGTCCTAATATTGAAAATGACCTCCATGTGTTTTCTCAAAAAATTCAGCCACGCCTGGATCTTCTATGTAGCCAGAGGCAGGCACATGTACCACACTGAAGTGCAATATGCAAAAAAAGAAAGCTTGAGAGGATCTTGAAGTTATTGTTTCGATGATGATATCTTATGATACATCTTTTCATAAATAAATTTAGAGGTCCTGGATTTCAGAGTTCTTATTTAGGCAAATATTATTGGTTCTGGCAGTCCATGGGACTGAGTAGGGGTGCCGCCAATGTCTCGCTGACCCAACAGGGTGCCGTTGGCAATGAAGACTGAGAACTTACTGAGTTTAACCACTAATCAAGCTATCTACTTGTTCCCAACTTATTACGTCCCAGGCGGATCTGCACATAAGGACGACAAAAATTAATTCCTCATTACGGTAGGTGCAATGAGAATAAAAGAGAACTCAGACGAATGCTATTCTGTTCGAATTCGTCCTAACTGCCGTCAGGCGGATATTTCTCCTGCTCGTTTTTGGACCCCGAGAGGCAGCATCTCCAATCCTACATCTCCTTCACTCGGGATAGCAGACATGAACACAGAGTCGTTGTAATGAAGCTGGAAGAAAAGCAGATGAGGAAGGGAATGGGAATTTTCGCAGGAGAAAAAGCCGTGTCGCCACTAGCGCCACCTCCCGTAACTATGCCAAACCGTGTCCGCAGCAGGGCCACTTCTTTCCTTCTTCTTTCCTGCAGTCTTGAAACTTCGTGACTCTTCAAAGTTGGTGAAACTCGAAAGAGGAAGGTTTTCCAGTCGTCAGTGATGCAAAAGCTGGCGAATAGATCTGGCCAACTACTCTTCCTACACACCGTCTTGTCTCGTCCTTATGACGTCCATTATGAAGTGACTTTCCTTACTAGGACAAGATGGGTCGAGAAGGGGACATGGAATCGGGACTGGCTCCTGAAGCGAATTCGGAGATGCAAGCGAGAACATCCTCAGAATCCAGTTAGCAGCTTCGTTCAAGGACAAGTCCGTCAGGAACGCCTTCATTGCGAAGATTTATGCGATCCTCACCATCCGGATAGCAATTATAGTCGCCGTCGTCTATGCATGCATTTTCATGCTATTAAAATTCTGAGGTTTGTCTTTTCCTCGGATTTCCCCGCCGATTTCGACCCTCACTTTGAAAACATATTTTGTGTCCTGGGACTTCCCTGAACATTGTAGGGCCTGCACGTACTGGGGGCCCCTACAGAATGGGGTTATTAACGGAGGGCCTGTACGGCTCGATGGTGATGGGATCCGGTGTGTGGGGATCTCCAGAGAGTATCAGGAAAAGTATCAGGAAGGTTGCGGTGTTCGGAGAGGTTCGTAAGAGAGACCTCTGTGATCGGCAGCAGGAAACCCGTCCAATAGTAATCGTTGACTCCAAGGTGTAGACTCCTTCTGAATTACTCAGGACTCCGGGTTTATATAAAAGGTGCGTAATTGGACACTACGCACAGTTTATTATACAAGACAACAAAAGGGATAGGTGAATGGGGTTAGTAGCAAATAACAGCCTCACGCTGATGGGGGAGCCTCAGGGTCGTCCTCGTGCGTCCCAGTTGTCCGGTGGAGGACCACCGTCACCACAGTTCCTCTAATAGTCGCACGTTCCTGTGCGGTAGCTGCGTGAAGGCTCGGCACGGCTTCACGCGTGCCGTGAGTGCGTCCACTCACTTTGGTTCTCGGCGACCCACTGCCGAGGGAGTGCTCGGGGAAAGTAGGATGTCCTGGCGTGCGTATGCGTATGAGGGAGGAGGTTCTTCCCTCCGTAATCATTACGCCATTCCCTGCGGGGCTCGAGGAGGACTCCACAACATCGCATCATGAACCATTCCTGTATCAGTTGGATGAGTTTCGTTTTTGACGCCTGCCGCTACGAGAAGGCCACTTTGTGGAGGCGAGGGCGCTGGTGCCTCTGATGACAAGCGACATCTTGCTTTCCTTGAAACAGCCAGGCCTTTTTCATCCAATCAGACAATGGACTGAAAACTAGCCGTGTTGACCACGGGAAGCCTCCCATACAGTCTATTTAAGAAAAAAATTTTCACTTTGAATTTTCCATTTCTTGCTGGTTCGGTGACGCGACAACCCCGGGTATGATTTCGGTTTACAATCTCTGATTCAAGTTAGAAGGACCTAATCTAACCTACGTGAGTTCGGCGAGAGGAAAGATACTTCAGAACCCTCTGAATACGTCTGCAGGGAGTCAAATCTCTTGTTCACGATTTTGAATCGATCCTCAAAGATAATGAGCTTCGGCATGAATTCCGTTCTCCGCAGATCGGAATAAAGAAAAGCGAAGAAATGAACGATGTACTGATCAGAAGGATTGCGAGAGCGCGACCCCCAAGAGTGACGGAAGCAACATCTTCACCAGAGAATGGAACTCCTAGCTTCTGTGTCGGTTTGCTATACCACCCTCACCATGCGCCGTTGTCGAAGTCAAGTGAAACCACGAATTAAACTGGAAGGGATATTTCATGGGCTCAGGTCACGTGACCACAGCTCCGCCCCCATACTCATCCTCTGCTTTTTGTTGCCCAAGTCCGCACGTCTTACTCTGCTCAGCGCAGCACATCCATGGAGAATTGTATCTGATTTCTCGCAGGTTTACTTGTATGTAAAAGTCATGATTGTACCTCATTTTTCTCATGCATAAAAAAATGCATATGTCTGTTGCGAAATTCAGGAAAAATTGTGTTGTTTTGAAAATCTTTCGCTCACAAGCTCAATCTAAATATGGCTCACATGGCCTAAAAGGTTCCCAACCTCTGCATTAGGGTATTTAGTGACCACCCTAGATGAAAATAAAAATTCGTTTTTGACATGCATTAAACGTATTCCAAGAGGTACATCCAGGAGATATTTCTGATAATAACACTACGACCATCCATCCTCGGTTCCAGACTGGGCTCAGCGAGGGCTATAAGAAGGAGTGGCCGTACCCAAGGTAAGAGCATCTATAAAGTTTGAACGACCTCCTGTATATTGGGCACTTAGCCTAACTTTTGCAGTCAAGTCAGCTATCTGAGGAAGAATACCAGAATACCAGTAAGCCTACAATAATTCAGGAACAATCCACGACGACTACGCCGCGCTGGCGCGGAGCAACGCGTGCGGACCAGGGCGAGAAAAAGCGGACGATGAAATGCATGGCGATGGGCGGAGGAGCTGTAGCCACGTGACCTGAGCAGAGGCTTCCTTCCCTGAACAAATTTGCACCCAGTCAGCGACTTTGCTCTGGCCCTACCTCATGCTCTTAACGTCTGACATCTCCATGTATAAGCGGGAAACGCTGTTTTGAATTAGTATTTATAGATGTCGCAAGCATACACAGATCAATGGTAGAGAGGCACACCCTGAACATTGACCGCAAGTGATGGGACGTACCGCAACGATAACGCAGCGCTCGATTCCCACGAGAAATTTCCCAGATACTGATGACACAGACCAGCTTCAGTAGACAACCGGAAAATGGGAAATATCGATTCAGAGGAGGCGCTATTACGGAAAGGAAATGGGACCGCGGAAACGTGCGGGACAGAAACTACCGACTCTGACGAGGACTCTACCAGACACCCATTTGGGACCAAAGCCTCGTCCTTGGCTAGCAGACGACAGAAGCCGTCCGTACGCCCTTCGTTCACGCTTCCTGTCGTCCTTGCCAAGGTCGAGCGTCGGCAATCCTCAGTCGTCTCGTGTTCTCGTGTCTGTTCACAACTGTTTGAGTACGTCAGGAAAAATGAGTCGTAGCGATACAGGCCCGATCGATACCAACTGCATGACTCTGACCAGATATGTACTGGCAGAGCAGAGGAAAATTCCTGGTGCAACGGGAGATCTCTCCCAGCTTCTCAACTCGATCCAATCAGCGGTAAAGGCCATCAGTTCTGCGGTGCGCAGAGCCGGCATTCATCATCTGTGAGTAGGCCTACGTTCTGTCTCTTTAAGTCTCCCCCCATGCTCATGCGTTGGCAGTAAGTCTGTTGTAGTTGGCTGTGTAGCTGCAGGTGCAAAGTACATTCGGTAAATTTATCGATCGTGCTACGCCCACGGTATGGCGGACGAATCTCCGTCTGAGAGTTGGGATGAAAAACTGACCTTTATTTGACCTTTCAACAATGCTTGTAACTAAGGAATTTTTGAGGCCTAAGAAATAAACCACCACGAATGGAGTGGAACCAAGCATCCCCATCGGCATAAATTACTTTTCCGAGTCCCTGAAACTCTGACCCAAAAAACCTTGATTTCCTCGTAAGTTGGGGCAGAAGTAAACTCTTGACAGATTTAGATTTTTATTAACATTAGCTCGGGTTTTGTGACTCTCTGGCAAACTACTTGTTGAGGCAAAGTTTGAGAGTTTTACTAAGGAAGGGATAGAATGGGATGAGAGAAGAAAACACTGCGTTTTTTTTTGCCGTGTCCCTTGCTTCTCCATCTATGACTGAATTTGTGCCGATTTTAAAATTTATTTTACGAAATGACACATTTTATACGATTCTACACTACATCAATTGATTATAAAAAGTTTGAAATTATTTTTTTTCGTCCAGATTTGGTGTAGCAGGCTCGACGAACACCACAGGTGACGAGGTGAAGAAGCTAGACGTGCTAGCCAATGAGTTGTTCATCAACCTCCTCCGATCCTCCTACACAACATGCCTTCTCGTCTCGGAGGAAAACGAGACCGTCATTGAGGTAAACTCCACCGATCCCGGATGTGAAATTTGGTAAACCTGTCTCCTTGAGAGTGAATGTCTGGCTTCCAGGTGGAGACGGAGCGCCAGGGGAAGTACATCGTGTGTTTCGACCCTCTGGACGGAAGCTCAAACATCGACTGCCTCGTGTCCATCGGGTCCATATTCGGGGTGTGGCGACGGAAGGCGGCCGATGAATCGCAGCTGTCGATCGCGGATGCCCTGCAGTCGGGGCGGGAGATGGTGGCTGCTGGGTACGCGCTCTACGGCTCGGCCACCATGATGGTCATCACGACGGGAGGGGCAGTCAACGGGTTTATGCTTGACCCTGTGAGTTCCCTCGACTCGTGTAGATGAAGTGAGAAAAAGGGGTGTGTGGCTCGGGAGGTCACGAGGGACGCGTGGGGAAATGAAAATATGATAATCGCGAGTCAGAGTAGATTGCATTCCAATGATATTTAATGATATTTAGTGTATGTGATATATTAATTTTATGTTTTCGTTTCACTTCGCAATTAGCTTGTTTGAAATCCTCAATCCCTGTCAAAGTACGATGCAATTTTGTTTCTAAAATGCTTTCACATGTCAAATGCCCCACACTCGACAGCACAAGTAACTCGAAGAATTTGAAGTCTGATACCTTGCACCTTTCTAAGCTCCCCTCCTGGGCCTAGCATCGGGCGACTTGTTGCTTGTGACCGGTTTTGATGGAGTCGATAAATTCAGGGAACGAGCGGCGGTAGCATGCTGCAACCCTGGGATCTTGCGCATTTTTCTCGATCGTCAGAACCGAGGCTGAAATAAAAGATATCCGATCGAGAACATGCTATCAGCCGTGACCGACGATAATGTGCCTTTCATGGTCGTGAATTCCAGGTTGTCCGATTGTATCACAATCGGGTGAGGACGGTGCCGTCAGGATTCAGCAAGAGATACCGCTGGTTTTATTCGTATTCTCTGGCATTGGTCAAGGCCATCGTCTGGACCGGAGATCTATCATTCTGGGATTTTATCGCCGCCACATGAACCGGTTTCTTCCCGTCTTGATTTAAAAAATTTCCTTTGTCGGATGGGCATCCTGTATTTCCATTGCAAGTGTTGTGTAAATATTTTTTTTTGGAAGATATTCCCCCCTTTTCTTATCTAACCCTGACCATTTTTTGTTCAGTTGTTTTAGAACATGTGACTGAAGTTCGCATAAATGATGATCCTCTTAAAGGTGTAGGTGGGAAAGTTCAGGAAAGAAAGGATCAAAGGAAAATCTAATTCGGTTTTGGGAAGAAAAGTTGTCCTTTCTTTCTATGACCAAACAGTGAGTGCTTCATGCTTGGGTCCATATGCGCTGACTTCTAAAAAAAAAAAAAAAAAAAACTGGGGGGGAGGGGTCGTTAAGGCCCCTGAGTCAGGGACGTAGCCAGGGGGGTGTCCTGGGTGTCTGAACACCCCCCAAAGAGAAGCAAGATATGAAACATGGGAGTAGGAGTGAAAAATGGGTGGGGTGGGAATGGGGGGGGGGGGTGAGTGAAAAGTTTCCCATATACAACTAAAGTTTTGACTTGCATTCCTATCCTACCTTCTGAATACAATCTCTCTTAACCAATACAGTGCCCCCCCCCCCCCATTTTGCTTCTATGGCCAGTTTTTTTAGTTCCAGTAGCAAACCATGATTCAGAAGTAGCTTTCTCCTACTTCATTATGACTAATTCAAGGTCTGTCCTTCACCCATATCTCTTTTCCTGCAAAAAAGTTTGAAATTTTGGGAAGTTAAGAGTTGAATGATGCTTTCTAAGTACCCTTTAAAATATCTCTCAGGTGAGGGAGTGGAACCAGATGGAATGTGCATGGCAGAACTAGGAAGACAGAGTACTTCTTAATCCTTACTTTGATAATATATTGCTCTAAGTACAGACAGGATTACTCATATTTACTCTGAATGACCTTACACCAAGTTTCCCTGGTGCTAATTTTTTCCAAAAATTCACATCTGTGGATGCAGACATTTCTCTTGGATACATTTCACACCTGCCTCCATCCTTCCTTTAGGGCATTGGAGAATTTGTTCTGACTGATCCTGACATCACAATAAGGTCCAGGGGTACAACCTACTCCCTGAATGAGGGGCACGAAGGAGCCTGGGATGAGGCAGTTCGAGAATATGTCAAGAGCAAGAAATACCCCAAGGTATCAACATTTTGTTGTAATATTTGAAGGGCTGAAAGGCAAAGTGGTCTATCTGCTAAAAATTATTTCCTGAAGCTCCACATGAAATGAGTGAATATTCCAGTGACCATCATGTTAAGCGTGAGAAAAAGTGGTATGTATTGATAGATCACTTCATCTTTTACTTAATTCCAAAAAACTATAATTTTCTATGAAAGGAACATGGTCCTATGGGCACAAAACCCATGACACTTTTTTCGGACATTTTTTTGCAGATAGACCACTTTGCCTTTTAGCCCTTCATTTCACACTATGTACTATACTGACACTGATGAAATGTATTAATTTGATGCATTGATCAGAGTGGGAAGCCTTATGGTGCTCGATACATTGGGTCCATGGTGGCTGACGTGCACAGAACCCTCAAGTATGGTGGGATTTTCATGTATCCTGCAACCAAGGATGCTCCCAAAGGAAAGGTGAGCAGATATCTCAATGGGTCCTAGTATATATCACAAGGGTGATTTTTTTTTTTGCTGAAAAGTCACTAGTGTGATGTCATTGAAGTTTTTTTCACTGGACATAACCTTCATAGCAGCTATTGTCATGATTGTGCTATGAAATTCCCAGTATCCTAGGACTGTAATATTTGCCCCATATTCCAAGTTGCAGTCATTAGTTGTTAATGGACCTGACAGAGTGAAAATGGGTTTCATAAACTGACCAAGACAGAAAGCAGCATATTAGGGCTCTGCTTTGACTGCTAAGCTCGGACAGGCAACTGTATGTTTAGCCAGAACAGGGCCCTTAGAAGCATAATTTTGGACATGAACCCTAGATGTCATTCAGGTGCTCTCATGGATTTGGATTCTTATTTGCAGCTCCGTCTCATGTACGAGTGTAATCCTATGGCCCTGTTAGTTGTGAAGGCTGGAGGAGCTGCATCAACTGGACTGATGCCTGTCCTCGACATCAAGCCCAACAACATTCATCAACGCTCACCCATCTTCCTTGGCTCTACTGAGGATGTCAAGGATGTTGAGGAATTTTTTCAGAAATACAAGCATTAGGACATTAGAGGAGCTCAACTCTGGGAAGCTTCATTCAGTTTTGTAGTAGCTGCTATGCATTTCTTTTCATACATGGCTGGAAGAAAAAAAAAGGAATGGAGACTTTGTTTCCTTGTTGATAATAATTGGTGATAGACTGGTTGTCAAGATTGGCATACTTGCACCAGAGGTTCAATAAATCTTTTTTTTTGGAGGCTGATGAATCTTAAGTTGTTTGTGGCCATTTGATTGAAGAAACCCAAGCCAATGTGTAGGTAATATCCCATTTTTATATCGGTCCATCACTAATTATTTTCAAGAACCACAGTCGCAGATGTCACATTGCTGCAGTATATGAATTAGACCTATTTTTGCCCTTGAATTTGAGTGATTGTGATGATGGTGTCTTTGCAAGCAAATGCCATGTGGCACACATTCTTTCAGGTTTTGTTTCATGAAACCAGCATTCCTTGGGATGGCAGGATAGTTACAGTATCTGTTGCTAGCAATATTTTGTATGGAACTGACAATACCCTCCCCAATACCATTGTAGCAGGTCTCTAGTTGAAGCTGTCAATTGCTACCCATCTCAAATTGTGCCTTTTCATGAAATCCTTTGAGTGGATTTTGATTCTCCCTCATCAATGTTCAGTTTTTTTTTGCTTTAGATCAGATTGTCCACTGAAGAATCCATCTACTGTCCTTGGTTGCTGTGTTGAATCAAAACCATGTTCTCCAGTGCAATACTTTATTATAGTGTCCAAAAAAAAAACATTCACAAAGTGTCATGAGGTCTTCTCATTTGCTCTCAAATACATATCCTACTCAAATTTGTACATTAATATTGGCAAAAGCCAGCTGATGAACAACAGTCAGATGAACAACAGTCACATGAACAACAATTAGAGGATGATTGAAGTCATGGCTTAAACTTCACAAGAGGGATGTTCTTACTATGGAGACATTTATCACAAACCCATTCAGCATAGACCTCAGCAGTGAGGAGATGAAAGGCAGGCTCTGTAAGTCCAGTGCACACTCTGTGAAACCAGAAATTGCACCCAGATTCACAAAGGATGGCTTGGTCATTGTCATGCACCTCTTTGTGGCAAATTCCACAGGGGTAGATTGGTGGGGCGTTGGGATTTTGGGGATTAAATACCATGGGCTGATCAGGTGGGTAGATCTGCAAGAAGAAAAGAAGTTCCATCAGTTGGCATATTTGAGCAAAAACAACACCATCCTCATAAAATGTTCTTTGAAGTTTCAAGTCAAGGTAAAGTATAAGGAACTTTGTGCACTGCTAACCCTTTTAAGGCTGCTGGCTGCTTTTTCAGCCATGTGTAATACTGCTAAAAATATAGATTTTTATACCATCTATGAACCCCAACTAGGTGAAAGAAGAAACCTAAGTTTTAAAAAAGCTGTGGCTTTTCTTCATGTGGCAAAAAGTATACATGGCTGAAAAATTGGCTGTGCAGCACTGAAAGGGTTAACAAAGTGCCAAGACAAACCTTTCCAGAAGAAACAGGCATGGGTTTTGGTCCCATTCCTGGCCCCATAGGCCCATTAGGTCCCATTCCAGGTCCTCCAGGAATCATGCCTGGATTTCCTGGTCCCATCATAGGAGGACCTCCTTGCATCATCCCTGGCCCACCCGCCATCATTCCTGGATTCCCAGGTGGCATACCTGGTCCCATTCCCATCGGGGGACCACCAGGACCCATGGGACCAGGTCCCATTCCTGGGCCACCCATGGGAGACATGTTCCTCATAGGACCTGGCTGCATAGGCATATCATCAAAGGGATTTGATGCCACAATGGTGTCTCCATATCCTGGGAATAAATTAAAATAATATAACAAATTCACTCTTGGAATGAGCAGCATTCATAGACTGATTAGGATGGAATGCTCTGATCATGGCTACAATAAAATCTGAAAATTGGACCAACCTGACATCGGAGGAGGTGGAATCAGATCAGGTACAGATGGAGAATTATTACGTTGAGAGCTATTGTTGACATTGCTAGTTTTCCTTCGCTTCTTTGCCTGTCCTGGGGAGTCGGGATTCTGTGCTCCATGCCGCATCATTCCTACCCACTTTGTTATTTCACTTGGACATAGACCTAAATGAAGAAAAGCAGATCCAAGCTCTGGGCCTAAACCAATGCCAATTTAGGCTGACATTTTAGACATTCTCTGGAACCTACATCATTTCCCCTGCCTGTGCTGAGCTTATATGTTTCAAACTTAAATGAGATTATGCTTAACTGTGCTTATTAATAAAGTTCATGAGCATTTTCTGGCATAATCACAGATTTGTGCATGATGTGTCTTGTTCATCAAAAACTTGTATTCGTTAGCAATTTTTCTCTCTCTTTCATCAATTATACTTTTATAATGTTCATACCAATCAAAGTAATACTGTTGTCTTTATATATTTCAGAGGCCTAACTAAGGCATACTCTATTTCACTATGAAGCAAATCTTGGGCATTACGCATCGTCACTTTTATCTTCATTTAAAATTCATATTACCTTCAGAATTATCCATGACGATACTGTGGACTTTCTGATAGTACAATCTATTGAATTAACAAAGAACCATGTTGAAAATGGAAAGAACTCAAAATGAAAACACTAAGCCTATTGCCTCGAATAAAAATCCAAATCTTCCGAGCCGCAATAAGACAAATTAGTCCAGGCCTACGCCGAAGCTCCGCAGAAATACGATTTGAAGGAATAAGGTGCCAGTTAAAAGCAGCAGGAAACGTTGGATTTCGGGCTTAGAGAGGCATAATCAAGACCGAATAAGCTTTACACAAGGTTTGCTCTGTGGAACATGAACGCCGCCATAACAGCGTCAAGAGCGTCTTCGAATGCTATGGAGAACCAGTCTCGTCCACTGAGCTAAAAAGAGAACTGGAGATGGCGCACAATACGATGGATTTGGGGCAATTGGAAGCCATCTTAGTTGGGTCCGTGGTGGCTCTTCTCCATTCACTACAATGGGATTTTCATAAGCTCCAATGTTCCCGCGGTACCTGCTCCCTTCCTCGGCCAATGCGCACCGCAGGCCCGCTTTAGCCTGGACCCAACCAATATGGCTTCAAAATGCACCCTTTTCCCTATGCTACTCCTATGGCCGCACCATCTCCAGTTCTTTTTCTTAGCTCAGTGGTCTCGTCTTGTTCTCTTCTCCCTTGTTTCTCAGTCACAACGTATAATTTATTCTGAAATGGCCCATAGAAAATCACCATCGATGAATCAAACTGCAACTTTGAGCTTTAAATAAAATTATTTCCGAACCGTGAGCTATTGCGAAAAATCGAGTGCGCACTGTCTCGAGAAGAAAACTTGCATTTGTCCTACGTGGGTCAAGGTCATTTTCGTCCCCTGTTTATCATGTCATGCATCACATCCTTCCTTCCTCCCCTGCATGGATGTTCCCTATAAGTGAAGATCGTGATTTTCTCTGTGATTATGTCAAATGACAAAGAGTGACTGACCCTTAATAACAAAGGCTACAATGATAGCCAGTGACATCATCCAGATCATGGTGACATCCCCTCTCTATAGTGACACCGACTTTACAGGGAAGGAAGTCCCACTCTGATTCATGGATTTCTTCGCACCGATCCGGACGTGTCAGGTAAAGAGTCATTGTCGTAAACCTAACTTTACGTTCCATCGAGGCATCAAAGGAAGAATGCAGTGTGCCCAAATTGTTACGATATCGAAATGCAGGTCGTAGGCGTAATGTATTATTGATGACCTAGTCATGCACCGTCAATGAAACGAGGTATTGAACTATGATGGAACCAGATATCGTCCATCGGATCGAAGAAGAATAAGCTGAATTTGGTCAGTGTCTCTTTGTTCAATGCCCATATTTTAAGTAGATTCAAGATTGGCAGGGCCGTTTCGAGGCGTGTTGGCGCCCAGGGCAAGAAGTTCCAATGGCGCCCCCCCCCCCCTCCCCCTTTACCCCTCTGGCGCCCTCCCCCATCCCCCTTTATCCCGCTTGCGCCCCAGGGATCGCCCGCTTCCCCCGCCCATGGAAACGACCCTGAAGATTGGGGATGTCAGGAAGCATCTCTGCCTATTACGTCATCCCTTGTCGAGATCTAGCGTTCATTTAGTAATAGTTAACCATTCCCTGCAAGCACTGAACCATGTAACCTTTATCCATGCACCTGACTTTGATCTCAGATCACGAGGAACCATCCTCGGAAAGGGCCGTGACGTGCCCCTCAAATGTACTCCTTTTTTTTTGTCCAAAAATCTCAGGCTTCATGTTTACCCACGCTTCGTCTCAGCTTTTAAAATGACGTCTCCCTCGGGTATTTGTTAACCCCAGTGTATTTCTGAGTACTCTTATGAATCATTTCACTGCTTACGCATATTTACAAGAGTATTACACATTTTGGGTACTTCTAAAACCTTCAAATGCAATTAGAAAACGTAGATTTTTTTTTAGGAGTGGGGTCAGAAAAGACCCCGGAGAAGAGGAAGCAAGGGTTAAAGGAATCTTGAAAGTGACCGTTGCACCAAGACGAGCATGTGTGAGACGAGCTTCAGAGGTTGTTGCGAAAAGCTTTCACCTTGCTTGCGGATCGCAGCTTCTGCTTTGGAATCTCTAGTCTTAGTCTCCTGTTCGTCGCCATTCCTGTTTTTTTTTTAGACGTTTAATCGCCGAGAACCAACAGCCTCTTTTTCTTCTGAGAAGCACCGAAATGGAATTCGCTGTTGGTTACCGTGCCTATCTTGCTCGTTTTGACGCATTCGTGTTTATCATTTATATAGGGATATAGTGGTCTCATGGATTCAGTCCGCAAATCTTCCAATGAATTCATTGGAACTAAAGTGCTCACTCAGGTAGTCCAGTTCTGCCACAGGCAAAGGGTCACGACTAGGTCGAATCATTGAACTCATGACTTTGTGTCTGACTCAGAGTTCGTCATTTAACGTGCATTTGATTGCTTGTTTCATGCAAGTTTTTGAGTAGTCCTCGATACCGACCATTGTTGAGAAGACAATATGTCGTCACGACATTGTCATTTTGCGGATCCACCACCGGATAGTAAGTACATGGTGTTTCAACAGAATAGTAAGCACCCCAAGAATAGCTATTTCTTGTATTATACACATCAAACTGACTTTTTAACAGCTATAAAGAGAAAATATTCATTTCTTCGTAAATCGCATGGAAATCAGCGTCTTTTTTTTTAAGACGTTGAAAGATAAAGTCTACGTAAAAGAAAGTCAGTCGGCAGACCACTGCACTGCCTATTTCAGTACCCAGCAATGCAAGAACTTGAATGTACTGGTAATCTTTCTGCCAATGCATGCAATACTAATTCTGAGTTTTGTTTTTAATTTTCATCAGAAAAAATGCATTGAAGAAATAAAAGTATCAATAATCATCGCTTGACGACGGTAAAAAAAAATTTTAAGAGTGTGTTGGAGGAAGAGTCTTAAGATTGGATCCATACCCGTTTTCTTTCTCCCCACTCCGACCCAAGCCATTAGCGAAGGTCCATTATATCAACCAGCCGTTGCAACCACCCGAGGAGAAGATTCTGCAAACAAAAAAAAAAACAAAGAACAAGCCAAAACAAAAAATACTCAGCAGGAAATCATAAAAAGAGAGGGGTCTCTTTCTCCACGGTTTTATTTTTTCTCCGCTTCACGGACAAACGATGGTGAAGGGGAAAGTGATGTGACTGAGACTTCCCTTTGTCTTATGTAACGGGCGTCGAGCGTCTTCCTCGATCCACGCTGTCACACTAACAGGTCCATCCCATTTTCTCCTCGCTTTCGAGTGAGTCTGGGAGAAAGGACTCAATTATACGGTGGATCATTGAGCCTTGTCTCGTGCTCCGGCTCCTTTCTCCTTTCGGGTGAACCCTGGGTAGTCCCGTCCCCCCCCCCGACGAGGATACGAAGCCGAACCGATCCTCTCGGGAGATCTTATCGGACTCGTGAAAGCCTTGGCATTCGGAAAAGTGGAATAAATCTACTTTACAACCCTATTTTGACAGTTCTCGGTATTCATCGAACGTGGGGTCGACAGGTTCCCGACCGTTTCGGGCCATCGCCAACGCAGTGACGCGACACCAAACAACAGCTAACGGAAAACGAACGCAGTCGCAATCACGCCGTGGCACCGATGAAAGAAACCCTGGGAGCGAGAGATCCTTTACTCGAGTCGGAAGGACGCGCACAGAATACGTAGCTCGACGGGGATCAGGAATTCCTCTCGGTGACAGTATTACTTTTGTTTCCTTTATTTTCACGACTTCCGTTTCTCCGAGCGGTTTGTCGCAGGGGCATCGTTCCATGCGAGGGAATCGCACGCGGATTAGAGGCCTTACGACGAAGTTCCACCGTGGAACCAGAGTCCAACCTCGCATGTTTCCATAAATTGCGTCAGCACTGCAACTTCTCGTGGGACGAAGTCGAAAAACACCGCATCGACTCCATCGGGAAATATCACGTTTCGATGAACTTCGCCGCCTCCTCCCCGTTTTATGAGCAAGAGGGTGGGAGAGCTGGGGTTGAATGCAAGAGTTTCAGTCCCATCAAAACTGCTACCTAGCAGATTCAGTCAAGAAGAAGAACTATGTTGTGATGTTGCCGTGTAGAGGTGTTGAGGGTGACGTCATAAGCTGTCATTCGATTGCAAACAGGCTTTTGTAGGGATTCTTTCTTATTTAAGAATTCTTGATATTTCTGATTCTGACTCAAGAACTCTCCCTATTCCCATAAATCTTGCTGGGCGTCACTCAGACCAATTAGTCTTTTTCGTGACATCTTTCAAAAATTGATGAAAGTGTCGAAACAGTGAGAAGTGTCTTTCCGTGGTTTCGAAGATCCTGCTCTTCACATTCAACATTTATTTAAGTTCCATGGTGGTTAACGTTAGTTCAACCAGGACGAAAACGCAGATCGATTGCAATTGCACCCATTTGAATAATCACAGAGCGAAAACGATGGTGGCCTTCTGAAGGAGAGGAATGTCTCGCGTCGAGGGCGAGAGGGCAGAGACACTTGACATCATTGACATCCTTGACATGCGCATCCTTTCACTCTCAGCTCTTTAGCATTTGGTGTGTTCTGATGTTTTACCACGTAACAT